CTACTGAAACAGGCCAGGAATCAATTGATAAATGACCCAGCCTCACAATGAAGGGATTATTGTGGGGCACACTCTGCATAGCTCCTCAGAGGTTACAGGAACCGAGTCTCAGTTGCTCACCCTGGAAACCAGCTCAACACCATACTCTTTATTGACTTAGCCTCCATCCCTATTTCACTTCCTCATTTCTGCTTTCTGGAACCACCTTCCAAATCAGCCACCTGCTACCAGGATCTTGTTTCAGGCTCTGCTTTAAGGAGAACTCCAACTAGGCCACATCCTAAATTATGGTCAATTTCCTGTCTGCTAATAATGGCATAGACTTTAAGACATGTTAAGTGAGAAAATGTAAAGCAAACAACCATATATATCATCTGGTATGTAATAAGAGTAAGAAATAAAAATATATACAGTACAAGTGTCTATGCAGAAATAAATTATTGGCCTGGTGCAATGGTTCATACCTGTAGTCTTAGCACTGTGGGAGGCTGAGACAAAAAGATTGCTTGAGGCCAGAAGTTTGAGACAAGCTTGAGCAAGACTGAGACACTATCTCTACAAAAAGTATGAAATTAGCCAGGCATGGTAGCACACCTGTAGTCCTGGTTACTCAAGAGGCTAAGGCAGGAGGATTGTTTGAGTGCAGGAGTTTGAGCATGCTGTGATGATGCCAATGCACGGTAGCCCAGAAAATAAGAGTGAGACCCTGTGTCAAATTAAGTAAGTAAATAAATAAAACTAATGAACCAACAAACTAATAAAAGTGGTTATCCATAAGAGTCAGTGGGCCTGTGGAACAGGATGAAGCCGCAGAGATGAAGACATGGAGGGTGACCAAGGAGACAGGTCTGGGAAGGCTTTAAGGAGGTGTTGTTAGGTTTCTGTCTTTTGTGTGTGTATATGTGTGAGAGATTAATGTGAGGGTACACATAATTAGGTCACAATTGTCTGCATTTGTTAAGGCAGAGTCCAAGTTGTAGTTGTGTCCTTCACTCAGGAAGTGGGCCATGCGCATGCTCATTGTTCCCGGTGGACAGGAACCCGCTGACTCCCAGTCCCCCTTCTTGAATTTAATTGAGTTTTTCTTTCATAGGAGCTTTTTGTTGTTAATCTACAAGTTTCAAATTAGTATTGAGTACATGCTTGTTTTTCCATTCTTGTGATACTTTACTTAGGCGAGTATTCTCCAAATCCATCTAAATTGTAACAAAGGATATAAAACCTCCATCTTTTTATGGCTGAATAGTACTCCATGTATACATATACCACAGTTTATTAATCCACTTATGTGTTGAAGGACACTTGGATTGTTTCCACATCTTTGTGATTGTAAATTGAGCTGCTAGAAACATTCCAGTGCAAATGTCCTTATGGTAAAATGACTTTTTTCTTTTGAGTAAATATCTAGTAATGGGATTGCAGGATCAAATGGAAGCCCTACTTTAGTTCTTTAAGGACTCTTTATACTTCTTTTCATTAAGGCTGTACTAGTTTGTTGTCCCAACAGTGCAGGAGTATTCCCATCTCTTTGTACCCACACCTGCATCTGTTGCTTTGGGACTTTGTGATGTGGGCCATTCTCATTAAAGTTAGGTGATATCTCAAAGTGGTTTTGATTTGCATTTCTCTAATAATAAAGATGGTGATTTTCACGAGTTTGTTTTAGCTATTCTTCTCTCCTCATGAGTAAAGATTTTTAATGGAGTTATTTGCACTTTTTTTGTTGATTTGCTCGTGTTCTTTAGAGATTGTGGTTATTAGCTCTTTGTTGTATTTGTGGCATGCAGATATTTTCTCCCATCCTGAAGGTTGTCTCTTTGCTTTATTGATTTTGTCCTTATCTGTGCAGAAACTTTTTAACTTGATCAGGTCTCATTTATTTATTTTTGTTGTTACTGCAATTGCCTTTGGGGTCTTCTTCATAAATCATTTCCCAAGACCAATATTGTTGAGTTTTTCCTAAACTTTATTCTAGAAATTTTATAGTTTTGTATCTTAGTTTTAAATCTTGTATCCAGCATGGGCTCATTTTGTAAGTGATGAAAAATGTGGGTCATGTTTTAGCCTTTTACATGTGGCTAACCCATTTTCCCAGCACCATTTATTAAATAGGGATTCTTTTTACCAGTGTATGCTTTTGTTTGCTTTATTAAAGTTCAGATGATGATATAGGCCTGGCTTTATCTTAAGGTTCTCTGTTCTGGTCCATAGATCTATGTCTCTATTTGCATGCCAATACCATGCTATTTTGATCACTATGAACTTGTAGTGTAACCTGAAATCTGGTAACATGATGCCTCCAGATTTGTTCTTATTTTGTAGAATTGCATTGGCTATTCAGGCTTTTTTCCAGTTCTATATGAGACATAGAACTATTTTTTTAAGATCTTCAAGGCATAGCATTGATATTTTAATGGGGATGGCATTAAATCTATAGATTGCTTTGGGTAGTATAGACATTTTAACAATGTTGATTCTTCCCAGCCATGAGCATGGTATGTTCTCCAATCTGTTAACATCCTTTGCTATTTCTTTTCTCAGTGCTTCTTAAGCCTCTCTGTAGAGATCCTTCACATCCTTTGTTAAGTAAATGTGACCCTGTCAATAGATGCAGAAAAAGCATTTGACAAAATTCAGTATGCTTTTTTGATAAGAACATTTAAGAAAACAGGCATTGATGGGACTTTTTTTTTTTTTTT